CGGGATAAGAAGAACGATACGAAACGTTAAGAAAACAATAAAAACGCGAATCGACGTGGATGCAATACCAAACGTGGACTTCCGTCTTTTGCTATTACAACGAAGACGGGTCTGCATCCGTCTCTGTCCTGGATACATTACCTAATTTGCAGGCATTACGTGAATAGCGGTTTGAGGTTAACGTGATATTACGTGATTTCCACGGAGCATCGCTCTAGATTACGGTTTGAAACGCGCTTTTATGTGAACGCGAGTTGCTATCGTACGAATGCTCTAAATGTCTAGCATTAATTCGTCGTGCCAGACGTTTCTGACCCTGGTGGCTGTCTGTTCAGGTAGTGTGTGTGGGTTGGGATGTAGTATACTTCAAACGCGTACCTAATGCCACAAACGCACTAAAATATATACCAGAGTCGACAAAATTATCGCAACGAAAATTCAAATTGTATACGGTTGTCTTATTTTTCGTTTAGAAGGTTTAAATTTATTTATCAGTTATCAAAGATCATCGGTGATCACCGGAAACTAATATTTCTATCTTTCGGGAACAGTATTTTTTGTCCTTCTGAAACATAGTCTATGTCCTTTTCTGTAGTCTTGGCAATGTACATACAAAATCTCGCACACAAACCACATTTACATGTATATTAGTTAGGATTCCTCTGATTATATTTGAAACAGACATAAGCACCTGTTTAAGTCGAAACAGGTGCCTGTTCAAGTCGAAACAGGTGCCTGTGCCTGTGTTTCTAATAAATTCTAACAACATCAAACTGTTACGGCTATTTGTTTTTTATTCGCAATTTAAAATGGATAATATTTTGCAAAACTCTGAGGAACATTACTTTTAATAGAAACTATAAAGGTCATATTTTGGCAACCGGAAGGTGAAGACGAAGATTTTTTCTTGAAAATCGATAAATAAAGGTTTATCATTTTCCTACACTCAAAAGTTCGTACGATTTTTTTCCGCAAAGCACTAGCATTTTGTGAATTTTCTTCGTTTAGTTTTGTTGACGAGGAGTAGGTACACTATGTTTCAGTTTTATGGAATATGGCATATGAAATATTGCTGATTTAGTCATAAAGGAAAATTAGAATCAAGAAATTTTTTATGCAAAATATTACCACGACCCTCTCTTTCAAAATAGAATTTTTCATCTTCTTTGTTTGAAATTCATGCCACTGATAATAATCAGAATAGGTGCCACAGGCCCGACGCTTTTCAAGGATATTATGAAATAAATTTGAATCAATTTTATAAGAAAATTACAATGAAGCCTTTGAAAATTGTACTTGAAAGACAGTTTTGTCGTAAGCCTCTGATTAATCATGAAAAGCTGAAAGGCAAATTTGATTATATTTACCCAAATAAAAAAAAGTAAACAATATTTTTCTGAAAATGAAATCCAATCTAATAAATGTTCATATAATATCTTGATAATATCAATATATACCAAACAAACCAGTTGTACCTAATGTTTATATATTGTTAAAAATGTAGTTATCATAAAATACAAAATTTAGAGAAATAAAGTAAACAATTGCTTTCTTATTTTCCGTTAGTTTAATTAAAAGCTCTATCAACACTTTGGCATATGATACCTTTTCAAGTAATTGTTAATTGGTTTAATATTTGCAAATATGTGTACGTGATTGTGTGTTCTCTATAATTGTTAGTATTTAAGATCTTTGTGAACACTTTAAAATTATTAATATAAATTATATATACTTTCCATTTCAAGTTTGAGTTATTTCAATCATTTTGACTTAACTGTATACAAATACTTATACAGGGTGTTTCTGAAGTAGCAAGCATGCAGGAGATGACAGGGCACTATAAAACAAGAAAATTAGGTAAATGTTTAGTGGTCCGAAAATCCACTGTTTTCAAGGAAAACGTATTTGTACACTAAAGTCCGGCCCTGGCAGGATCACGAAGGGAAATGTGATATTGCAACGCCACATTCCATAAGCTGCAGCATTCGAAGAATTTTTTTGTATTTTGTGCTTTTAATACCATGTCGAGGTGTATTTTAAATAGTGCTGCATGCTATCAGCGATGAACAAAGTAGTTATTTAATTATTCGTTATCCCAACTGTTATCTAAAGTGTAAGCTGTTGATATTTACTGTATTCGTCTTTCCACAACCGTCACTGTTTACATTTTTCATCGATGTTGTTTAGTTGTTATCGCAATTACAAAATCAAAGTTTACTACTTATTTCAGAAACACCTTGTATATACGTCAAAGAACATTCTGACTTACTAATTTGACTTTCGAAATGATTGAACTCAAACTTCAATAATGATCGTACTGTAACAAAAATAATTCAAAAAGACTGAAGCAATTTTAATTAGAAACCAATTGAATTGAGTGGTAGAAATTCACAATTCTTGCCAGAATTCATGAATTTTGAGATGCCGGAAAAACGGTCATGTAAGTACAAAATGCTTGAAAACAATTAAAATTCTTACTAAGCCAAGACTTCCTAAACTAATGCGACTAACCACTGTTGGCATTTTACCAAGAACCGACAAAGAGTTTCGAGCAAAACTACTCAGCAGCGTGTTGCTAAATGAATTGAAGAAGAAGGAAAATGTTGCTACGTTAAGAGCAAAACCAGCCGAACAGCGCTACTAAAATTGAATCAAGAATAGAGACATAGTCGCTCAATTATGTTTAGTTTTTAAGTCGTAATAAAGAGCTTATAAACGGCCGTTTTATGGCATCGTGAATTTTCTCTTGCGGTAACAAATTTTATTAGCTTATTTGAATTAATTGCGCTCCTGCAGACAAGTACCGCATTCGGCAATTAAAAAGGAATATTTTTAATTACGTAAATTTAATATCGAACGTTATTGTGGTTTTTACAAACCTGCGATAACATTGTGGATTTATTTCAGTGCATCAAAACGTAGGGAAATTCGGATGACGTCATTTATACGTAAGTATGCAGCTATCTATCAGAATTTGATTAAATTATGAAAAAAACCATTTCCGAATTATCCTTTCCCGGTATATTAGTTGCGGATATTTAGTACGAGAGATACTGTTGTGTTTAAATGGAAAACTGCGGCTGCCCTTTTGAATATCCGAAGGGAATGAGGAGAAGGGAAATAAAAAACCTCCTGTTTGATATTTACCGTCCTCTAATGGCTAATAATTTTAGCATAGCACCGTCGAAACTCATAAAGCTTGGGCTGCTGGGAGCCATCCCGATTCTTCTTTTTTTTTTTCGTCTGTGCCACAACCTAAAATAGGTACCCGGCCTCCGGCTGTTGGTAATCTATTTAGTTTTTTCCCGTCTCGTCGCAAAATGCACCGGATCGGTTATCTAAAAGAATTGACATCGCTAACCGCAGATGAAAGTACGAACCCACGAGAGTGTGCGGTTAGATACAAGCCACACGACTGCAACATGTTGCAATTTATTATGGTCCAACACTAGATTGGATATTTTGGGAAAACAATAAATGATTAAAAAAAAGATAGATTTGCAGCAGAAAAAGTATTGAGTTAGGCTAGATTAGGGTTAGTTGTTCTGGTCGTTTTATAAGATTAGATATACCAAAATGCAGCTAAGTGGAAAAATATGGAAGAATACTCTAATTTGATCAAATTTAATAATAAAAAAAAATCGGCGCTCAAATATCCATTTGCCGGCTTTTTCGCTTTGGGTCAAAATTATTCGTTTTTCCATATTCCACTGAAATTTGATAATGCAGCTTGTCTTCATAAATCGAATAGACGTTTTATTGGATTATTTTAAAAAGCCGATTCAATTGAATAAGTAACACATCTTGGTATAACCTTTGTCTAACATAAAATATATCAGTTAACAGCAGATATCATTATATTACGGAGATACTGCTAAAATTAGATACAGATAAAATTGCTTCTTTAAAAAAAGCTTTTTGATTATCCTCGGAAACTAAATCTAGAAGATAAATAATTTTATAGTAAAGCTACTATAGTCAATTAAGTCTGAAGATTACTCAAAATAAAAATATCTAAATAATAATAATTACTTTTATTCTGATATGGATTTTTATCAAGTAAAAATCGAATCTATTAAGTAAATATTACTCTATAACTTGTCATGTTTCTAAAAAAATCGATAGTCCTTAATAGTTTTGAATATGTGTAACATATAATCGAACTAAAATTTGATTTGCGATTAAAGTAAATCCTTTTTAGAAAGAATTTTCCTCAATTTCTGAGTATTTTTTTATAGATAACGCTACTGTACATAATGCTTAAACAAATTGTTCGCGCAAGGTAGTAGAACAATATTATTATCAGTGTATAAGTGTCTTCGAAGAAAGAGATGGGGGTGGCGGTACCACCCCTACCCCAATTTGATATTGAACACTATAAATTGAAGACAGTTTCGACAGAATACAGACCACTTCGAATTATTTTGTTCTATAAATTGAGTTGTTGGGTACAAAAAGAAAAGTGTTCGAAAAACTCTCGTTAAGACGTCTTAAGCTTTATCTATCCTAACTAAGTCATGTCTCGCTAAGTGAATTCTTCTTCTTCTAAGTGTTAATTGTTAAGTGTTCCTTGTTAATTTGTACATAGTTTTTTTGGTTAATATACGGTTAAAAACACTGCAAAGTTTTATTAGAGAAAGTGAGCTCTTGTCAACGTTACAAGTAGCATTTCCACGAAAATTTTAAAGAATATCGTACTATTTAATTTTTAGAAAACATTGTTAGTATATGATTTTAAAAATCGAGTTGAAGAGGCCTTAATTTCTTGCATTTTAACATTGCAAACTACGCAATATTTAGTTATATTATATTAATATTTGCATTATTTTATTTTGAAATTAAATTATTCATTCACCTGAAGAGGCCATTGTGTTGGCGAAATAATTATTGTGAATTTTACAATACAAATTTTTGTAACTAAACATCGTACCCATAAGGTGATTTTACATATATGTATAACATAAATAACAAAAAGAAATAAAGAAAAAATGGACACTTACGTCGACGTTAATGAAGGGTACTGAGAATGCTTTGGAGGGTGGCGATTCCTTGGGAACGAATCGATAGAATTCCTCATGGTTCCGGTACCACTTGATGGTGTAGAGAGCAGCCTGTTCAAGATCGTAGTCGCAGGAGAGGGTCACGGAGTCGCCGGATTTCACCACCTCCGGCACCCGGATTATCACCGAGCGCAGGGATCGGCACTCTGAAAGGGAAGGATTTGCAGTAAGTGACTGCCCTGCTGAATTACCGATACGATGGCTCTTTTAGCATAAGCGGTTAGTAAATCATCGAAAGCGGCAGACAAAGGGACAGACCGATAGGGCCAGGCATAATCAACGGGATAACCCTATCCCGGGATTGCCTTTTCAATTACGTAATGTTCGCTGACGACGACTGGAAGTAATAATTCTCAAAGGAAGACTCGAAGACCATCAAGGATTTACGTTTCGGCTATTTTCCTTTTTTTTTCCTTTCCATGACAGTTTGCATCGTTTAGCTGTTTTTTATTGAGACCGGAATTTAAGGTTTTTTTTTTTAGAATTTCGACCGGTCGTCCAAACGAGGGTCTTATTGTAAAGATTTGAATAAGTTAAAGAAAAAAAAGGATGTGCTAGTAGGCTCGACTGTGCGTTTAAATGTATTTGAACAAAAAGGTTTTATGAATACGACTTTTCAAACTTTAGGGTGCGCATATAGTACGCGATCATTCTGATAAAAAATATCGGAAAAAATGGAAAGCAGCGGAGGCGTAAATTTTATATTTTGTAAGAGCAAAAACTCTTCTATTTTTACTTTGCTCTTAGTAATTTGTTTCTGCACCTTTTTATATTCACAAACAAATTTGTTAACCTTTGAATAGCATAGAAAATAATTTACAATTTCAATTTTGACGCGCAAAATTTCGCTCTTTACAGTGGTTCAAGCCGATTTTAATTTCTATGATATGGAAGCTGTGCAAGGTATCCTAAAAGGTCCCGACTAGAAATTATGCTCGTGGACCTGACAGGGTATAACCTCGATTCATACAAGATCCTGATAAGGACCACCCTATGTTGATATGAGTAGGAGTGTTGCGCTTTTTTTTTTAAGAAGGACCTAATAAGGAAATAAAAATTATGACCTAAAAGGAAAATTCAAAGAACCCTATCTAAACCTGATTGCAAATTTATTATTAANAAACTGGTAAAATTGTAGTTAACATTTAACAAGAAGGAAAATCCGTTTCCTCTTGGATAGTCATCTGACGATATTTAAATTCTGACCAATCAAGTTTATCCACACTCAATCCTGATCAGAATTTAATTATATTTGCCCTATAAAGCATTAAATGGTCTAATCCTGATAAGATCCTACCGTGGAAAACTTGATTTCCTCAATTTTTTACTTTGATAGGACAATCTGTGGACATCCTGATTTGGACCTGACAAGTCTATTCTTATTTCGGATATCTTTATACAATCCTCATTAGGACCTCACTGGGAATTCCTTAACTTGGACAGCCTTATTAGGTCCTCACATATATCGGGCTAACCTGCTTCTAATTTCTAGTAGGGGTGTTTTGAGGAAAATAGGTTTTTGTGTAATCCCAACAAACTATTAGTAATTTTGGCTCCTTTTTAATCAATTTTCAAATTTCGTTCTTTACAGTGGTTCAGTCAGAAGAGCACCTAATAAGGTGATGCAAGGGATACATTTTGCATCCAGTCACATTCCTCTTTTGTTTCTTTCTTTTAAAAAGGGGCATCCAAAAAAACTGAATACATAATACATCGGGCCTAGCATGTCCAAAATCCGCCACCGATTGCTTGAGATCTATCTATTAGATTTTTCTTTAATTTTTTTTGTCATGTACCTTAGAGTTTACAAGTCACTTTAGTAAGCTATGTCTCTATTAAAATTTACAACCCTGTGTCTTCATCTACCCGATTTTCTGAAAAATTCGAAACAATTTGACAGTTATTTCAATAGAAAAGTTCATTTAATATACTTTTTCATATTCTTATATGATAACATTGCATTATTATTTACAATGAGTCTAATTAGGAGATATCTAAAATGAAACTGGTTTAGTCTTGAAATGAAAAAACAATTTTTGCAATTATTATTCTTATACTGTAATTACCATCAGATGAAAAATGATACCAACGTCAATTTGTGTAGGTAGGTATATGAATAGCTCATTAAGTTAACAAGGTAGTTTGATTAGATTGGCACTTTAGAGACAGAAAGGAAAAATAAAACGGAATTTCGTGATGGAGCTTTAAATGTTGGATTTCCGTTGAACCGTTGTAATGCTGATAAAAGTGTTGGACGCTTTTAATCAAAACCGATTTCAATGAAAGTCCTTTGTCCATCGCGGCGCCATTTCGTGTATTTTGACGTCCGGCGTCTAATCGAATTCTTCACAAAAAGTATGTTGAGAACAATAAAATCTAAAGCCGACTGACTATGTCATACCCGTGGAAGTGCCGTAAAAATAACCCATAATTTCGAAGGGAAACAGAACTCGGAAAGTAAACATTGTCGACAGAAACGGTCCTTTTTATGGAGTTTTTAACGAGAAACTGGCAAACAGTGGGAAAATATAACCAGATTTATGAGCCCCTTACGATACTTTCAACTTTGCGGAACTGCTTTTATCAGTAAGCAATTACAATGATTTACGGTCCAAGTTGACTTTATCGAAATTGAAACAACGCAAACATAACCAACCCATAGATACACGACTAAACAACAGACGCAATACGGAAAGGTATTAACGGATGCGGTACCTGTTTAGTACATTCAACTTAGCAGCGGTCTCGTTTTTCCTGTAACGGAAAACCTGGACAATATCCGTTTACTGCCTCATATTTCCTGCATATATTAAAATAAACTTAGTTTCTGTTGAAGGCTATAAAGCTACAGAACACTTTCCATTTAAGTTTGGATCTCTATGATTATTGTTTCTTTCTGATATTATCAAAAAATATATGCTACTTTTTCCAATAGGTCCCAAATTAATTAACATGACATATTTAGAAAATACTACAAATGGCGCAGTGAACGGCGTAGTCAACCTCAACGTGATAGGCACGTTAGCTTAATCGAATAAAATAATTCGAAGTGGTCTGTATTCTGTCGAAACCGCCAGAAGCGAATCGCGATTTCGATCTTTTTGGATCTCATCAGAGCATCGCAGGCAGCTCCGACAGAACACAGACCAACTTTTACCTGCTGTCTTAACAGTGCGTTTTAGAAAATACTACAAATGGCGCAGTGAACGCCATCTGTAGCACGATGCTACATTTTAGGATTACGTATGCTCCAACAAGGTCCACTTGCTGCCTGCGACGCGCTGATGAGATCCAAAAAGATCGAAATCGCGATCCGCGTCTGGCAGTTTCGACAGAATACAGAACACTTCGAATTATTTTATATGACATATTTAATCATATCCAATACAAATCATCAATTTTAAGGATTCGGTTAGCGTTAAATTAAAAATTAAAAACATTATTTTTAGTGGACTGTTGCAAAAGTTCCCGAAATGAAGGAAAAATTTGATCATTCATTTAATCCAGAATTTTTCCTAGATTTGGGTAATACAATGGCCCATAGAATTTCGATTATTTACCTTCATTCTATATCCTAAAAATGACTAACTTAAAAATGATGTTTTTTGTAAGAAATTTATTTACTTTGACAAGCTTCACCTCAAAGAGAATTATTCTTGTCAATCCATAAACAGAGTTGAAAAGCAAATCATTCCTTCTACATTTTTCTTATAATAGCGTTTTGAACGTCAAATAACGCAACTACATATATGTATATATACAAATATATATTTCTTTGTGTGATTGGTTTCAATGGCTTTTGTAGGCCAGGAAGTTGTTAAATAACCGACCTCCCAGTAATCCTCGTTCCTAAGGAGGATGTTACGTACCCGAATTAACCTTCCTTTAATAATAACCATCGACCAGAATGATGCCGTATTATCCTTAATAACAATGTAACTGATTTGCGCTGGAACTCTCTTTATCATATCTCATCCGAATTGACGTCTCATGATTGAAAACGAGCCCCATACTGGTTTAGAATTACGTAGGCACTTACCGCTTGTGGGAGGATTACGTTACAGAAACTAATTGCAAATTAACTATTCCGAATTATATATGATATACATTTATAAATGGTTAATTAAAAAACAGAAATAAGCGCCGATCTTGCAGAAGACGATAGATCAGTACAAAACATGAAAATTATGTAAACGTTTGTCTGTCCGCAAGTTCACTGTTTTCGAGGAAACCGTAGTTGAAAGTAAATAGGTAAATTTAGTTCCGGGCCTGGTAAAGAAATACGATCCGCAACGCTGTTCTGAATCATTTGGTAATTACCAGGATCGGTTTAGCATTTGTTTTGTATTTTATTGATCATGTATTGTTTGTTTGTTAGATTAGATTAAGTGTGATTCAATCTTACTTTTCTAATTTTTTATACTGTTCACTTCTTGTTTTCTCAATTTCTTTTGCTGACTTCATTCATGTCTTACTATTTTTACTTAATCTTTGCCTAGTTTTTCTAAATATCAGAATATCATAGATTTGTGTTTTTTAAAGTTATCTACATTAAATAATATAAATCCATGTACAATCTTACTTCACGTTGTTTGGTTGAACTTGGTTACTTTCGTCTTTTGCTTTGAAAGATTGTAGACGTGTCCGAAAAGCAAGAATTCTTGGTTTTTGATAATTTCTTAACACAAATTCCTTGTTTTCCTTCTTCCAGAAAGAACCAACAGGATAAGAACAAAAAGTTCGTGAATCACTAGTTGTAGATGATCTATGTGATGAATATTATAGTAGTTGATCAAAATTTAATATATATGCAATTGTTGATAGAATTAAATGATCTGGGTTAAATTTCGTTGGTTCACAAAAATATGTGTTTCGTCAGTATGTGACTAATATCGCAAAAGAAAATAAAAGTTTCAAACAGAAACAAAAAAGTTAAGAAACAGATGACGGTCGAGGTGCAATCATGCAGCTATAACCGAAACGTTCTGCGCTAACCGTTTTGTTCTTATTTTAGCACGCTGTTGCTGTTATAAAAGTTTTATCGGCCAGTGTATATTGTGCATTTCGCGGACAGTGATTGATGGTATTTCCAAACAATATTTTTCCCTTTTAAAGAAAGACAAATCTTCCGGCTACTGATTGAACA